GAACATACAGAAATATGACAAATTAATAGAGAAGATACAAAAAAGCATTTGCATATTCATATCTGTGATTGTCAAATATTCTGATGAATCTCTTTGTTGTCAGGAACAGTAAATAATTGGGAAAAATTTTGTTGCTAAAATCGAAAAGCATTTTTGCTTTGTCTGCTTCATTCTGGTTGCCAATTCCTTCTTTGACATTGAGGTTGTTTCCCTAAAAAACTGTGTTTTGCTAGTCACTGGAAAAATGGGACTCTGAAATTTATCAAACTTTCACCACCGTCTAATGGAATTGACCGTTGTATGAGTTGTAAAAAAGTTAACGTTTAGTTGATGATATCTTTGAGAAATAATATTACGATTGAATCTCATAAATATCGTAAAATCGACAGCGGGGTAGAATGTCGTTTATTTTTGTTTTTCTTCTAGAAGAATATATATTTTTTGTTTTTTAGCGAAAAAAATCTATTTTGGTTTAAAGATATCATTTAATATTCAGTATATTTTTTCTGTAAGCAAAAAAAAGAAAAAAAAAACGTTTGCAAAAAGGAAAGTCTGACAAAAGTGTATTTGCAGGATAATTTTGGTTGCATTTAATCGCAGTATTCATTGGATATGTTGTCCACAGAAGAATAAATATTCTGCACAAAAATTAATAACCGATGCCGAAACACCGGATGATAATAAAACCTGCAAAACAGCAGTAAATGATGCCAGCAAATGCCTTTCATTATCACAAAAGGTATACAGTAATCGGCAAAAAAGTCATATACGCTTTCAAACTTCCACCTGTTTTTCACTTAAGAATCAATCTAACAGTAAATTGATGTACAATACATTTATTTAAAGTTATGATGAATATGTTGCTAACACGATGACAATGTAGATGATAATAATGCTGATTATAAATATTTTTGTTTTCTGTGTGAGTGTGTGTGTGTGTGCGGTGTGTATCTGTATGTGTGTTAGGAACAGCACTACTTTTTTTTTCCTTTCTTTAATTTGTAATTGCCTTTTTTTTTTTTT